TGTGACATTTTAATTAGTACAGATGATTGTACTGCCCATGTGGGCTTAATGAAATTTGGTCGAMAAAAAAAAAAAAAAATTAGTACAGATGATTTCACCTGCTATGGTCGTCACAAAAATAGTAATATGCTAAAAATATAAAATTACAGCTTGTGAAATGATATGATTATACTCGGATTCTATGCACAAAAACATTCCTCAGCAAATAATAGATCATCATGATTGTGGGACCAAGTATTGCTGCAAATGGTTGCTTCTCTTCTTGTTCTTGAGTTTCCTGAAAGCAGAGGACTCTATCTGCCTCACTCTCTCCCGGCTAACTCCCATCGTCTCTCCGATCTCTTGCAATGTCTTCATTCTCCCATCTTCCATTCCGAATCTCCAACGTATCACTTGCTTCTCCCTCGTGCTCAACGAGTCCAACACTTTGTCCAAGTCCTGCCTCATGAACTGCTTTATCAGAATATCTTCTGAAGTTTCCGCTTCAGGATCCGCTATCACTTCCTGCAATTCACACACCCATCTCTTATTTACTGTTTTGAACAAAATCAAGAAGAAGGCTAATGATGTATAGTGTGTTGTGTCGGGAGGACAAACCGAAGGTTTGAGGTTTAGATTGATTCCGATTTTCTGGTCAAGCGATCTTGGAGGTTTGGGAGAGAGTAGAACCGCCATGAGTCTCTTCATCGACAGCCCTGTTGCCTCTGCAATTTCTTCGTTCTTTGGTTGTATACCGGTCTCACTGTACAGTTGCTTTCGTGCCTCTTTCACTCTATATGTTGCCTCCACCATGTGAAACTGCCAAATCATCTCATAAACTTAGTATGATCAAGGAAAAGTCCGAACCTTTGATTAAACATGTCAAAAGTTATAACATTTGGGATGACTTGCAGGTAATCTTATCATTCTGGACTGATCAGAGAGAGACTTCCGCACTGCTTGCTTGATCCACCAATGCGCATAAGTTGAAAACTTGAAACCCTTTGTAGCATCAAACTTCTCTGCTCCCCTCACAAGGCCTCTGCACCCTTCCTGTGAGCATTTTTTCGAAACAAGAGGATGTTCAGTATTTACCACTTTCCTCGTTACTGTAACATATGTAACTATTACAAAAAAGAGTTAAGTGGTGAAAAACACAAACCTGGACAAGATCTTGGAGGTTCATCCCAGCTCCTTGATAATTCTTTGCAATCGAAATGACGAGACGAATGTTACTTTTAATCATTCTGTCCTTACATTGTGTGCCATGATTTATACGTTTCCTTAAAGATCTTTGATCGACTCCAGCAGCAGAAGCCCACTGTGCAAAGGTTGGCGGATGACCACAACGCTCAGTAAGCTCTGCTTGAAGTCTTTCCAACTTCAGAAGATCCTAAATGAAGGACCCAAAGTTGGTGATCAACAAACCACAACAAAGAAGATATGAACAATTACATAGAAGAAGACAAAAAAATATCATTCTCAAACATTTAAAGATTTCCAAACATCGTTCTCTCCCAGAATCTAGATTCCTAAGGCGCCTTATGGAAAACGGGAAGTGGTTTGTTTTAGAATTTGGAATATCAGTGACAAACCTGTATTCCTTCGGACAAGTCATGTTCTTCTCTGGCAGTGAGAAGCTTGGAACTGCTTGTTGTCATTCTTAGATAACGCAAAGGATCATTATAGTCAACTTCTTGTGAAGCAACACGTTTCTTTCTAGAGCTCGGACCAGTCTTCACAGATTGCAAACCTGCTGCAGTTTTCTCTAGCCCTTTTGCCCTCCGAGCTTTCCTTTCAGTTTGGCGTGTAGATCTCACAGCCGAACKCACTGAAAGTTGCTCCTCCAGAAGCTCAACTTCTTCTATTTCTGGTGCAGACAAGTCTTTGTTACAGTCAGGAGCAGGAGCAGGTGCAGGTACGGTTCTTCTATCACTCACAACTCCATTGTCTGAAACCGCTAGATGTCCCAATATGCCAGCACGTTCTTTTTCTGTAAACTGGTCCCACTTGGAGCGTTTGTCGGGTGGTGATGAAACTAATAGTTGCGTGTTGTAACTGTTTCTAAATAATGTGGCATCTTTTGCAACTTTGACAGCGGCTCTTGCAAGGGCGA